AGGGTCTCCCTATAGCCCCAACTGGCCTGGAGCTTGGCTTGGTATAGATCAGGCTGACCTTGAACTCACAAAGATCTGCCTGCCTCTGCCTCCCAAGTGCTGGGATTAAAGGTGTGAGCCATCACACCCAGCTTCTATAAACCTTTTAAATTTAAATTTGTTGTTGTTGTTGTTGTTGAGGCAGAGTCTCCCTGTAGCCCTAGCTAGCCTGTTTCACACCCAGCTTCTAAAAACCTTTTAAATTTAAATTTGTTGTTGTTGTTGTTGAGGCAGAGTCTCCCTGTAGCCCTAGCTAGCCTGGAACTCACTATTGTAGACTAGGCTGGCCTCAGTCTCACAGAGATCTGCCTGCCTCTTCTTCCCAAATGTTGGGATTAAAGGTGTATGCCAATATATCCAGCTTAAAATTTAGGTATTTTTACTGAATTTCTCAAAATTTCATACAGCGTGTTAGATCATACTCACATCTCCCTCCCCATCTGCATTCTTATATCTCCTACCCAATTTCATGTCTTCTATTGTTATTCTTTTAAGTTCTATCAAGTCTAATTTGTGTTCCCAGATGCTCTTCAGTGTGGGTCTATTCTCGGGAGTCTTAGCAACCTACCCAAGCATCACACCCTTAAAGAAAACTGACTTTTCCCCTTCCCGGTAGCTATCAGTTGGCTGCTCAACTACAGTTGTGGCTTCTTACCCACTTCTCTCACTCTGTGATGGGTATTTGTCTGGCTTGAACCTATGTAGGTCTTGTGTATGCTGTCTTAATTGCCATGAGTTCTTAAGAGTAACTGTCCTGCTGTCTGGAAAACATTCTTTCCTTGTAGTCATCCACCACCTCTGGCTTTTAGAATCTTTTTGGAAAAAAAAATAAAAAACCTAGTAATTTTTCTTCTCAAGAGTTTTGGTCATTAGCTCATTAGGTAACTTTTATGTTTTGAAAAAACACATGTGGGGCTGGAGAGATGGCTCAGCTATTAAGAGCACTGACTGCTCTTGCAGAGGACCTGGGTTCGATTTCCAGCACCCACATGGTGGCTACGAACCATCCTTAACTCCAGTTCTAGGGGAATCCGACCCCCTCTTCTGATCTCTGTGGCATTGCCCAACACAGGTGCACTCACATACATGTAGGCAATAAATTTTATTTTATATGCATAAAATAAAAATAATAAAATAAAATAATAATAAT